CTTCAATCTTACCCAGCATCAGGGTCTTCTCCAAAGAGATCTCTCTTCGCAAAATAGAGGAATAGCAGGTAGCATTTTGATCAACTGGTGCTTTATAAATGGTTCTGGCCTAGGGCAACCTTTTTGTGAATGGGCAAGCCCCATTCCTGGTAGCCATTACCCACCCTAAGTTCTCAAATTCCAACTGTGCCCACCAACCCTCAACCATTTGGAGATTTCAGAACTTTGGTCAACCTGAAATACTGGAGACTATACGGATACACCCTTGCAATTTTCTTGGCAACAATATAGAAGTGGTTCGCTACTGCATTTCAACTTCCTGTTCTAGCTTCCAGTTCTGAAATTCCCTGGACTTCTCCCATGCAAGTACTAACCAGGCTGGACCCTGCTTAGCTTCCAACTCGGGTAAGATTGCCCATGGGGCATGTGTCAAAATCCCTTTGGAAAATAGAACTGGGAGTTACTTACGATGCTCCAGAGTTCATAATACAGTTCCCTGTTTCGCAGTGACAGTTTCTGTCATCATCGTGGTTCATGCCCAGGTTGTGGCCGAGCTCATGAGCAACAATGGATGCAAACACCTGCACACTGGTGAGTCCAAACTACAAAATATCATAGAACAAAGAAGACAGATGGATTACTTTGTCAGGAGACTCTTACACCAATAGTACTAGGCAAACTGTCATGGAGCTCAAGCAGTTTCCCAACTGCTGCAACTTCTGCAGCACATTTAGAGAAAGGGAAGGTGAATGGCCTTGACCTGGGCCTTTGAAAAAGGTGGAAGCAGTTCCAATTTGCAACCAATTTCTGTCCCAGTCCTGTGAGAAGGAAAACAGCCATCACTCTGTTTTTTCTTCAAGTTCTCAGGATAACAAAGGAAGGGTCCCCTGTCCCACTTCCTTGCTTTCAGGGAATTCATTACTACCACTGACATTAAGATAATTTCTGCCCAGCTGAGGGCCATACTTGGTCTTGGAGAAGCACACCAAGAACCACACCCTCCAAAATGGGTCAGGCAAAGACAGAGGAGTGGCCATAGCCAAGTCAAAGTCTAATTAAAAGATTGTTTTCAATGGCCAGGAACTCATCCCAGAATGTTCTTTCCCAGGGAGGTATTTCTGCAACAGTGGCCTGGCTGAAACTGTTGTCTCCACAGAAGTCCAACAGAGTTCCCATGTCCTTCATCAAGGAAAAGGAGAATCAGGTTTCTTCCCGTAATCGAGGCTTTTACTGGAAATACAAAAGTGATCATCTGACAAGGGAAAGCTGATGTAATGGTATGTGAGAAAGACCTTGAGAAATGGGGCAAAGAGATGCTGCCTAGGGAACAGTCAGATAAGGGAGGGCATAGCCCGCAGATGCATAATGGGAAGAGAAAGAGGCTCAGAAGGGACCCTCCCTAACTTCTCAGGCCGTAAAAAAGATGTGAGGGGTAGAGAATTGTACTTTCAGACTTGTAAGATTCTGTTAATGTAGCCTTACAATAAAGTAGAATTAGCTCATCTGGTCGTGTTTCCTGTCTGGTCTACTTGTGAAGGCTGACATCAATCTTGCAGGTCTGAAAGTACAAATCTCCCATCGTCTTCTTTATAGCCTGAGAAGTTAGGGAGGATCCCTTCTGAGCCTCTTTCTCTTCCCATTATGCACCTGCGGGCTATGCCCTCTCTTATCTGACCGTTCCTTAGGCAGCATCTCTTCGCCCCATTTCTCATGGTCTTCCTCACGTACCATTACAGCTGCCCATCACTGACAAGCAGGCAATCAAATTTATGAAACCAGAGAATCACAGGACTGGAGGAGGCTGCTGAAATCATCGACTCCCATCTGCTCAATTCAGGAGTCCAAATTAATGTATCCTCACAGAGAGTGCCCAGCCTCTGTTTGATTGCATCCAATCAAAAGGAGTCTACCCTGGGAACTTTAAGATGTATGGACTTCAACTTCCAGAATTCCCCAGCCAGCCATGGAATTCTGGGAGTTGAAGTCCACACATCTTAAAGTTCCCAGGGTTGAGAAACACTGCTCTAAGTCATTGGATCCAATGACAAACTGCTTTTATCATTGCAAAGTCTGTCCTAACGTTATGTTTTATCTATCTTTCTGCAACTTAAGACCATCATTCTGTGTCCTAAAATCTTAGATGAGGGAGAAGTGACCTTGACAGCCCATGTGGCCTACTATCGTATATCCCTGTCTGCTCTTCTTCAAGCTAAATGTATCCATTCCATTAAATTTCTCCTCAAGAGACTCAGTTTTCAATCCTTAATCATCTTGGTTGCCTTTCAACGTTGTATACTTCAGCTCATTAAGATAAGAGACAGAGATGTTTAAAAATGCAAGGAACTGAAACACAAAGGATGTTATTATAAATTTCCAAGTTCTTAATATTTTGACATCAGGAATCTGCATCTGAAAGCCTGGAAAGTATAGATGCCATAGAATGAAAGGCAAATGATTTGCCCTGAGAAATGGTTTCTTCGATAATTTATGCAAATGTGCATGTTAATAGGGTAAGATGCAAACCAAGGTTCTGCATACTACAAAGGGAAATGCGTATGAAATTTCTCCATCTTTTAAAAATCTGTAAGGAGGAAAACAAAAGCCGCCTGGACTTCTGCCCTAATAAGCACCAAAAAAGAAAGGAATGTTTTACTGATCTGCACACTGCGTTGCCCAAACGCAACATAAGAGACTAAATCTAAACCATCCCAAACACTGTACAGTGGAACCTCGAGTTACGAATTTAATCCGTTCCGTGACTCTGGTTGCAACTCGAATTTGCAACACGAGGCAAATTTTCCCATAAGGTTCAATGTAATTACCGTTAATCCGTTCCAGCGTCCGCAGACCACACGTCAGGGGCGGAAAAATGGCCGCAGACCACGTGGAACGGGCAGGAAAACGGCCACGGACCACGTGGAATGGGCGGGAAATGGCCGTGGACCACGTCGAACGGGCGGAAAATGGCCGCGGACCACATGGCACGGGTGGGAAATGGCCACGGACCACGTGGCACGGGCGGAAAAATGGCCGCGGACCACGTGGAATGGGTGGGGAAATGGCCACGGACCACATGGAAAAGGAGGAAAATGGCCGCGGACCACGTGACACAGGCGGAAAAATGGCCGCGGACCATGTGGAACGGGCGGAAAATGGCCGTGGATCCGGTTTGTAAGTCAAGGCGAGTTTACAAGTCAAGGTAAATTTGGGGGGCCGGAGCTGGTCGTATCTCAAAAAATTCGTAAGTAGGGGCGTTCGTAACTAGAGGTACCACTTTACTTTCTATCACAGCCATAAAAGCTGTAATTTTATCTTTAACACAGCTGAGATGCAGTTAACGGCTGCTTACCACATTAATGCCTCCAGCGTGACTTTTGGAGCACACTGTTCCTACATAAGCCATCCCGGCTGTGCCCCCAAATTCCTTCCTCCTATAATGTAGGGGAAAATAACCCAAGTTTCTTAACGACAGTTAAGCAGAGAGTTAATTACATCTGAAAGTAAACTTTAATCCATTTAAAAGCACATGAAGTACTGCTAGCAAACAGCAGTTCCTATATCATCTGCAGTATTTTCTTACCACCCAAAAGGCAAATCACATTATTTATTGTAACCTGCTTTTATTTTAGATCAGTGTTGTCCAAACCTGGCCACTTTAAGATGAGTGGACTTCAACTCCCAGAAT